GGGTGACTCACTGTCCCCCATTACATATACCTATTTATACACAAACACCACCACCTGGACTATAAGGCCATGTACACACCCACACATACCCCCCCCACACACACATCCTCGTACAACAGCCACAAACCTCAACGCAACCCATCCTTCTGCACACTTAAAATACCCCTACGAGTTGCAGTACCCACCACCCACCCTTCTCTCCCACTTCCTAGTACGCATTCCCTCCCTACACAAACACTCCTTGGTACACACGCTCACACCACAAGACTGCCTTCCCCAGAAGTGAGCGCTGGGTGCAGGGGAAGTTGTGAGGAGCCGGCCGGGGGCAGCCTGTTCCAGGAGGTGAGAAGCAGGGGGCTCTCGAGCTACACTGCGCTGTGCTGCGCGCTCGCTCGAAAATGAGGCGGGAGGCGGTAGCGTTAGAGCTCCCGGGGCTCTAGCAGACTGATTTAGCTCGGCTGGGGAGGGAGGTGGCAAGGAAGAGAGGGAAGAGGGAGATGAGGGGGGGCAAGAGAGAAGGCGGGGAGCAGGGCCACCTCGCACGCAGACTCCAGGTGAGGCAGTGCTAAATCCAGCCCCCAAGCTGCAGAGATGCTAATCAGGAGGCTTTGTCCAAAAGGGTGCATCCAGGAGCTTCTAGCAACCCAGCGCTTTTGGAGAGAAGGAAGAGGGGGGAAAAAGGGAGTGGTGGGGGCCCTAATTTATGCCTGCACTTTAGCAAATTTTTTTTTTTGCTGCTATTAGCATCACCAAAGACCAGCAGCCTAGAGAAAGGAGTGTCCTGGAGACCTGTGACTTAGCGAGCTGCCTGGGCTTGTCCGCAGAGGAGGAGAGGTGGCTGGGATTGCTCTGGGCCAGAGTTCTGATCTATTGGGTCACCAACTCAGTGAAGGGCCACAGTCATTTCAGGGTGCCAGTCTTTTCCCCAAAGCCCCAGACTGGGTGGGCACATCAAAATGCCCAGGAAGTGGTGTCCCAGCCTCAACTCCAGGAATCGAGCAGGGTGGGAAGAATTGTTCCTTCCCGGCCCACTAGAAAAGGCCCTCTGCTTGTATTATTCTAATTACAGTATTTTTAATTTATTTTTTTTAAAAAGAAAGAAAAGCACAGAACGCACTTGTTTGGTTTCATTTTGCCTTCACAGCTTTAATGACTCCATTTGTGGAAGCTGTTTGGGAAACTGGTGAGGAGGAGGAGGAGAAGGCCAGCAATAGTGCCAGCTCAGGCCTGGGTGGCAACATCCCCACCCCCGGAGAGGGGGGCATCTGCCAGGACGGCAGTTTCTTTGGGCCCAGGGCCACCAATCCAGCCTAGGACCCAGATCCTTTGTCCTTTCCTGCAGGTCTCAGTGAGCTACAAGTCATCTTTCCACCTTGATCCAGCTCTGAGGTTCAAAACACTATATTGTAGCCAGCAGGCCCCGAGAAACTCCAGTGCTGTCCTTCTAGGATCACTAACTTTGCTCGCCAATGACTTGGAATGGAAAGGATCCAGTTTGTCTCGTGTCCATCTCCAAAGGCCGAGGCAGCCTACAGTCCTCAGAGGCAATCTCTAGCTCAGGGAAGGGGAGTTGGGCGGCCAAGCTTATCTCAGGCAATAGCCAGGAAGTGGGGTCACAGCATCTTCAGTCCAGGACAAACTCCACAGCCACATGGGCTGGGGAAGGCTTAGGTTCCCAGGAAATAAAAACATCCTGTCCCCAGCTGTACAAATGGGTGCGGAGCCCTACAATGCCAACATTTAGCCCTCGCAGCCCAAGGAAGTTTGGTTTGCAACCTGTCTTCCCTTCTCCAGGTCAGAGAAGTTGCTAAGAGGTCAGGGAGGGGCTGCGGGTTTGGAACCACCTTTGGCCACTAGCCCGGTTTCAGAACATCACTCCAGACCTCTGTCCTGCCTGGCCCTATCTCTCCTGGTTTGCAAAGTGACCCACTTTCACCATCCTGCTACAAGTCTCAGTCTAACCTGGCTATTAAAGCAACCATCAACCATATCTTCAGCAGCCTGCCTGAGGTGGTGCTCCAGTTTGAAGATTTCCTCACCCCGACCACCAGACTGAAGCTTATGAGGATGGAGTTCAAGTTCTGACCCTTACCAGAGTCCCAGGGACCTTGAGAAAGTGGAAAAGCCTGTCTCACAGTTTCAGTAGTTAGATAAGCAGATTGGAAACAAGGGAATTGTTTGGTCCTGCAGAATTCCCTGTTGGGGAACGTGGAGGGGACAGATCTGGAAGAGAGAGATTACAGAGAAATTCCTCCCCTGCAGTGGTACTTTCATGTTAATGAGAAAGCCCATTAAGACACTTGATTTTCCATTTAAGTGAGATGTGTGTTTGCTATAGTGTAGAGGGAGATGAGGACAAGTTACCACACCACACAGGCATAAACACACCAAACAGAGATGCTAGGAAAATGCTGATTTTAATTGCACCTTAAAAAGAAAAAGAAGTATTATCATGACACCTCCGTTCCTTCTCCACCTTCCCAGCCAGAGACCAAGGAAGGGCTCATTGAAAGCTCCAGGAAGGGCTGCGTGGGGAAGCGGAGGGAGTCCCAAGGCCAGCCGGAGCTTTTGAAAGGGCCTCCCCTGGCCAGTCACTTGCTGACATCTTTTTAAGGGTCTGGGGTTTTATGGTTCTAGTTTTGATTTCTCCATCATCAAACTTTGTGGTTTAAAAAAAATTCTCCATGCTGTAAAGGAAGCTCATTGCCATATCCTGGGGATGAGGTGGGGGTAAGAGGGGAGAGGTGTTCCCACTTCACAGGAGTCTGGACACCCCAGGAAAGCTCTAGGTAGGGATAGCCTCTCTCCTACCTCAGCCTGACAGAAGACTCAGGCAGGGGCTGGGCAGGGACTGAAGGAAGGGTCCAGAGTGGCTTGAAACACCTGGCTAAACAACAGACAGGAGCCCTGCATGCAAGTCTGGACTGGTGTCAAGTAAAGGCAAGATTTGGGCAAAACCAGTACTTTGGCCTTGGTTTTCCCCATTGGTGAAATGGGACTCATGATGGATCCATCGGAAAAATACCCCAAAATTCTGAAAGATGCTCTGTGCCCAGGCATTGGAGAAGAAAGGTTGTGTGGGAGGAAGGGGCACATTCTCCTCCCCAAGGCAGATTGCTAAGGGCGGCACATTTGGGCAAAGAAAAGGCTCAGGCCAACCCCGCCAGTTGGCCCAGCTCCAGGCTGGTGGGCAGGCAGCCCCTGCCGTGCTAAGTAATGAGCACAATTCCAACACCACTTCTGCTCGCTAGTGAGAAATCAAAGCCCGGTATTAGAGGCCATTTCTGGCTGGGCACTGGTTCGTGCCCAAATCCATCAAAGCTCTGGGCCTGGGGTTTCTTCTGGGGAAGGTAGGGGTTGGATGCTTTGTTAAGCAGCAAAAGCAGGCCACCCCCAGGCTTCCTGGCCCAGCCCACCCAGCCAGAGAACTCCAGGCCTACAGGGTCTCCTGTCTTTTTCCTAGCTGAGTCCCCCACCCTCACTAAATTTGGTATTTATTCCTGATTCCACTGCCCTGCTGGTACAAAAAAACAGCTTCCCGAGACACAACCCTGCCCATGTAGCATTTACAGAGACTTAACCATAGCCTTCAATCACCTCCTCAAACACCCTCAAAGCAGAAACCAACACCCCAATCCAGCACCTCCCACATCTAACTGCACCCTTTAAAACAAGGCTGGTCATTCAGCAGCTTACCTTCCCCCTTTCCCCTCATTACCTTCCAACTTCAAAACACTGCTTTAAATACCAGAGTCTGCCCAAATCATAATTAACTTGGATCAAATGATTGAGTGTTGTAACTTTACAGCACAGGACTTGGAAAAATAAAAAGTGGGGGATGTACTAAAACGAAGCCCTCACTCCTGGCCGTGGGAATCATTAATTTCAGAGTGAAGGATCTTTGGATATGGGGGGGGGAGCGGATGTCAACATCGCCGAGGAAGATGGGAGGGGGCGGCTACGTCATCTCCAGTTCACTTTCTGTCCCAGTTTTCCTACCGTATTCTGAGAGAGGTCTTCGTGCAGGATATCCCCTTTTGCCCCCATCCCACAGGGTGGCCTCACAGCAGCAGCCAGGCCACCTGCTTGGGTCTGGATACCAGATTAGTTGGCTTCAGTTGGTCCACCACCTTCCCGGGGAGACACAGCTCGCTTAGCGACACATAGTCCAGCTACAGGGCCAGTGAGACACATATACAACCGGGGCGCGAGAGACAGGCTAGGGGCTTTATATTAGGAGCGCACCAAGTCCCTCAACGACTCTTCCCGGGCCCACAAAAGGTGATGTACAGAAGCCAGCGCACCTGGTCAATCCCCGACAGAGAGAATGTCAGTGACCCATTTAAAAGGAATCAGGCAGAAGCACTACGTATCCCAGTCCTCTTCCAACATACACACCAACCTCTAGGAAAAAAAACAACTTGCAACCCGCTGGGACCGAGATCTCAGAAAAGCTGCGTGCGCGGGATTGAGCCCCTCCCCCATCGATAGCCAAAGCCCTGTAACCCGGCCTCCAACTGCCGGTGCGGTACCGGCGCCTCCCGGGCTAGGCAGGTCCCTCGCTCTCTCCCTCCCGTCTGCAGAGTTCGGTTGGGCGGTGCGCAGGAGCCTGTGCTGGCCGGGACTCGAACTAGGAAGTTGCAGGGAACAGAAGCGAGCGCACACCTGGCTCAGAGAGAGACACTTCTTTTCCGCGCTGTCGCCATGCACGCCGGGACTCACGGGTCCGCTGAAGGTGGCTCCAGGCGGAGGCTCAGACCCCGACTCAGGCACTCGTAGAAAGAGTAGCTTCCAGCTTACTCCACCCCACCCCCATCACGGCCCCCAGCGAGTCGGCGGCGCCATCGCCCACTTTGGCGGGGCAGAAAAATCTGCCTTCTAACTTGGGCGTCCTGCCGCTTTCCCGGCGCGCAACGATTCCGCCTCAACTTCGGGGTTGAGCGCAGCAGCAAGGCTCAGGGTCCTCGCATCCCCTGCCCTCAGGCCGGAGCGCTCCTTACCTGCTTGGCTCAGCCTCGGGTCCCAGCAGAGCAGCAACGCCAGCAGCAGCGCGCCCCGCGCTCCGCTCCGGGCCCACATGCTCCCGCGGCCCGGCTCGGGCGCCTCTCCCTCGGGGCTCTCTCCCCGGCCCCAGTCTCGCCGCCGCCGTCGCCGCCGCCGCCGCCTCCTCCTCGCCGTCCTCCCCGGCGCCCGGCCGCGCCAGCCCGTGCCCTCCGTGGGGGCAGCGGCAGCCAGGCTGCGCGGAGGGCCGCCCGGCGCTCGGAACGCGGTGGATGCCCGGTGCCCACTCTGGAGCCAGGCTCCGGCGCGCCCCTACTCTGCGCTCCTTGGGCTGCGGGGCTCCGAGCGCTCCCCGTGCTCCTGCGCCCTGCCTCCGAAGTTGCGCGACTGAAGACGAGTGCGCTCAGTGGCGCTCGCAGCGGCCGGCGCCGCGCTGTCCGAGTGCGAGAGCGCG